TTAGCATTATTTGAAGTACATTGCTTGTTTTTTTTCATTTTCAATATATATATTTTTGTTCCGCACTTAACTATTTTGTTTAAAATATTGCTGTCAACCACAAGAAACTTGAATAAACTGTGCCGAATTTTTATATAAGCCAATTTGACTGTCGTGCTCCACTTTCTGATAAGTATTCGTACATATTTAGGCAACCTATCAATTTCTAACTTCAACATTTTATCTACTCAATAATAATAATAGCGGTATTTGTCTTAATATAAATTCAAATAAAAAATAAAGGAAATTACCTTTCACTTTTAATGTTTTTGAGAGTTCATTAACAAAACATTATCATATCGTAAAGTATATTAGAACTAATAGTTGTGTGGCAGTACTCGTTTAGTATACAAATATTCACCAGCTAGAGCAAATTTTTGAGCAAATATACGAAACAACTTTATATACTTTGTACCATACATATTTTTGACACATGTTTATATACAGACATAACATATACAGGATATACATATCTATGCCAATAGTAACTAAAAATATCACTTCAATCAAAACATCAATCCATACATTTTTGGAAACAATAATTAGAATCAATATTGGTATTCTAATATTAAATTTTAAAGGGAACACATACCTAATGTAGTGTAAAACACACACGATTGAATGTATTGATATCACCAACTTATATTACACCAGGAATCCAATCTATATAATGGATTTTCCATCTTTACAATTATTAAATATTATGTGATTAAATCTGGAAGTTTTTTAAATTAAACAGAAAGATGTATTAGGTGTAGAAAAATTTATTTTCTATTATGAAGGTATGAAATATAATTGACCTATAATGACCAATACATAATACATATTCACAAATTTTATTTTTAGTAATGAAATCTAAGAAACTAATTCCTTATAAACAAACAAATTGAAAAATATTAAAGAAGTATAAAATGTATAAAAAAAATAAAAAATGATTTATGAAGTTAATTACTAGTGAATATATATTCTCTCAGGGTAGAGTCTTTAATACTTCCAGTAATCTAAATAGATTTAGTCTAGTTATTATATTCTAAATTATAAAACAAAGTATAAATTAAAAGCATATAATGCTTAGACTAAAAAGAAAATATATTTATATGTATATATATATTATATATATATATATATATATATATATATATTAGTTCCTAGCCAGTTTATATACAAGTATATAATAAAACAATGATCTTTATTAATTAACATATAATCATACACGGTCTTAGTCAAAGAATACGATGCAAATATATTATATGTTTCTATTGTGTGAATATATGTTTATAAGTATTTATAAAAGAAATATAAAAATTCCTTTTTCTTTTATAAATGATTTATAATTAACATTTTTTTATATAAATATTTATAAAAAAAATATAAAGATAACATTTTTTTTTGTTTTTTAGAATTTTTTTATGTATATAAAATTTATTTATTATAATAATAATATATAATAAAAATATATAATATAAAATTTTATATAATACTATTCATATTATGTATACATTACGAAAAATCTTCGATGCTTGTGGTACTCTACACCGTTATTAACCAGTACTCTCTTTTTTTCTACTACCTATGTATATAATTTTATATAGTTTTACACAATTATTTATATTTAAATAATTTCAAAAAAAATATTTATAAACATAAAATTAGAGTTTTAGAATATATTTAACAATATTATTCTTAACAGCAAATATTCTTAAATAAAAAAATTTTCACAATATACGAGTATCACAGAAAACCTTTTACTAGATATTTTAAAATATATTTCACAATTTTTTTATTTGCTTTAGTATCTATTATTAAAAATAACTACGGGTAAATTATTTAAATTAAAACCGGTTTTTAATACTCTTCTCAAATAATAAGGTCAATTCTCAGGATTAAAATTTTTGAAGCGGCGTTTAATCGATTGAACAGTTGAACTAATACGTGTACAAAATCTTTTTTCATTTTTTCTTCTTTCTGCTTTGCTTTCAGAATATCACTTTTGAATCTAGTTTATGTGTATGAACTTCATCTAGTGTGCCCTTAAGCAAAAATTAATTCACCAAAATTAATTCTCAAAAAAGAATCCTATTTATTCAGACATTTTTCTTTTATGTATATTACTATATATATAACTATAGGTTCTATTCTAACCGAACTTGTTCTGCAACTCCGTCAACTTAGTTATATAGCCTTAACCATAATTCTATTCATTAATTCAAAGTGTTTTTATTTAGATTAAAATTTTCAACTGCTTTAAAAATTGAATAAAAACTGTTATAAAAATTTAGTTTTAATATGCGGAATTAGTCCAGTAAGTTTTGGCGAAATAACAAAAATAACATTACATAATAATAATAGAGGTTTTTTCGAACAGTAGTGAACTACAAGAACAAAAATTTTATTATCATTTTTTTTTAAATTTTTTTTAATAATTATACTTATATTACGCACTTAATAATATGCTTATTTTTTATCTTATACTTTTTGTTTATTTTATTGTATTAAAAATAAGTTTTATTAATTAAGTTTTATTGATTTTTATTATATATTAATATCCCTAACAACGTATTAAATAATTTTTTTGTGTAAATTTTTTATTTATAATAAGAAATTTATAAATTTTAATTGTTTCGGATAATAATTTTTATAATAGTCAATAAAATGTTTAATTCCATAATTTTTTTTTAAATATTTATTGAAATTAATTTTATAGTATTTATTTATTATTTTAATTGTGTTTATACTAATTTTAAAATATTTTAGATAATAATGTTTTGTCTAATACTTTTTATAATAGTCAATAAAATATTTAATAGAATAGAATAATTCTTTTTAAATATATGCTAAATAAATTTTATGGTATTTAAATACCACCTAAATTAGGCTCGTAGGCCTTCCTTTCGCCCACATTGTTTATTATATTTTTGAGATTTATTGTTTAAATTAGAAAGCAAAGCTATTGAGATATATAGTCTGTTAAGATAATAAAACTCTATGGGTATAGTTTTTATATTTTGTTCAAACAACTTTATTTACTATAACAATTGCTGAAATATAGCTTAAAACGTTGTCACTATAACTGACTTAATTTGTTTATCAAATAATAGTGTTTTATGATTTCGTTATCAATAAACTAATTTCAGTTAATATTGCGAACCAAAAATAAAGTCACTTATATCAACAAAATTCATTGAGAATAAAAAAAACAGATGATAACAACAATAACGCAATAAATAAAATATACTTGAGTGAAATATTTTGATATGGAAGCTTATATGTAAATAATATGAAGAAATGAGGTCATTATACATCAACTCAAAATATTGAACAGGTTGATTCACAAATACTGAATATATTTGTTTCCATATGATTTTATTCTTAATGAGTATTTTTCGAAAGAACTTCATCTTTGTTTACTAAATACTTAATCGTAAATTAATTAATGTAAGTATTGTCGTAATTTTAGACTTTAATAAAAAATTAAAATAAAATTATTTTTAATTTATTGAAAAAATTTATACCCTTCATAAGCAATTAAAATTCTAATTAAAGTATTAACAGATTTATCTTTTTTATTAGAAATACAACTATATTTAGCAACAATTTTGTTCATTTATTTATTGAACTTATTTATAAAATTTATTAAATTACAAATAATACAAAATTTCTTCAGATAAGTTTCATGTATAAAGTCTCCAGAATCGCAAAATAAAATATAAAAAGCATTGACGAATCAAAGTAGGCCCGATCAACTGTAAGACAACTATGCTAGTACATGAACCAAACCTAATCTTTAGACTTACATTTCTTATCAACCAGACAGAGCTATCATCTTTCAAAAATAATGACATAGTTAAGTTTATAGACTTGTCAGATTGATATGATTTTACTTATATGGGGGAGTCGTACATATTTTCTTTAACGTTGTCCATACTAAGTCTTTATACTAGTTTTTGATGTGCTCTTAACCTAGTGTATAGAAATATTTATGCGTGTTATCACAACAAGCCATCATTTTTAATAAATAATAACTACTAAATAAGCTTTTAGTGCCAGCCCGTCACTAAAACCTAACTTAAGCTGATCCAAAACATCAAACATTTCTCTTAGACTGATTGAAAATTGGACCTTTACTGGTTTTGCGAATTTTTTTTTTATGGTGACATCGACAGGTCCTTCTCGAACTTGTAATTTTAGTTTCGTAAACAGGAGAATCACATGGACCTATATGCTAGGACTGCATGCTGGATCTATCACATTTGTTAAGATTTTTAACGACATTGTGCCATCGCAAAACATGTAGTAATTTAATAAACTATATAACATAAACACATCAGATAATCTCATAGATCATTAAATACTCATAACTAAGTATTCAATTGCTAACAAAATATTGTGGTAAAGAACTGTTTTAGAACTATTCGCAGGCCTTTTTCAAATTCTAAACTTTGTTTGCTTTTTGTGTAGAATATAAATATTAGTAATAAATTAGTAATATCTTTTGGAAAAGTCATTTATGTACAGTTGTTGTATTTCTATACAAAGAATATCTGTATCTGAAGTTTTATAAATTAAAAAAATTTGACAAACAAAATCTCATTCTCAACAATAATTGAATTTATTTACAAACAAATAGAATTAAACTTTATATCATATTTCCACTGCTTACTGAGTAAGTTATTTAAGTAACTTTAAGATTTTGCCGTTTTTATTAGCATAATATTCTTAATGCTTGTAAAAGAGCTCTTTGTATGGTTAACGAAACTTACTTAGTAAGTTACACTTATTAAGTAAGCAGTGGAAACATGTTATTAATTCAAAAAACATTTAATATTATTAAAAAAATAAATTATTAAGTTTTGCAAAAAGCTTCAGTATTTTATAGATCCATAAACTAATATATATCAAGTATGTATTTGATCAAGTAAAATCAAATAAAATTCGCTTAGCATACAAACAAGATTAAGAACTTAATATACCATTTTCATATTGGTGTCAAGTCAATACAAGTGTTTTCTGCAAACTGTCTATACTAGCAGATAGATAACAGATATATTGCTAAGGTATTGTTGCAATTTAGTTGAGTGTGAAGGTTAAACAAGTATATTTTTGAAACTGCCAATACCTAAAGATAGATAAGAGATGTATTCGTAATTCATTATTTCAATTGACTTTGATAATAAGAACAGAATGGATTTTCACATTGACATTAATAAACAGGTGAAGTCCCACAATAACAATTGTATTAAAACGTGTCTTGGAAATTCAGGCATAATATATTATAGATTTCCTTATAAATATAAATAAATTTTACGTAACATATTTCGTGATCGTTCACACATATCATATTGATACTATTCAGAGAATTTTAACAAAAGAATATTTAAAATAGAAACAAAGCGATCGGTAAGATAGTCTCGTAATAATAATGATTTAGTAATAATTTTACTTATCAAAAGAAATTCTTAAAACTGTGAGTCTGTTTCCTGTTCATACTTGAAGTTACTATAATTATTATGTATAAAAAATTATAAAAAATTCTACTTAAAACACAAAAAAAATTAAAATAAAACCATGGTTTTCTCATAGGCAGTCATAAATTTTTTATTAAAACTAAATGATTATATATCATACGAAAGTATTTGTTATAGTATATGACCACCTAATTAGCAATAGGCTTTTATCTGTTTATTATATATGTCTTATCATGTATGCTTATGTATGTACCACAACATTATATTTAGTAGTTTGGTACTACTAAACTAGTAATATGTTTTTATAATACACTAAGCACACACCTCTATTTATAACATCCTCTTTATACAGACTTGAAATCACATACATACATTAAAATATGTACATCTCACCTTATTCCCAATCATTGTACAAATAAGCGCAATAAGTGCAATTTATGGTATATAATTAAAATAATTATATATCTATACCAGAAGCAAAGCGTCGAATGGTTCAGAATGGTTAACAAAGTTTCCTTTTTAGATCTTTTTTTTATAAGGTAAATAATGTCACTATTTTGCTACTTAACACTTTTTATAATAGCTTTTCCAAACTATGTTCAATATTGAATAAACACAAAACATACAAACAAATATAAATAATAGAGATATAATAAAAGAGAAAACAAGTCCCGCAAAATATGTACGTGCAAGCGGTTCAATAAAAAAAGTGAACCTCCAATGTTATGCAAAGTAAATACAAAAGAGAAAAGAAATGACTGAGCGAAAATCGCTTTACATTTGACGACAGGTTCACTCGACCAAATTGAACTGCAAGTTCATACAAAACGTGCAAATACAATCAAAGTCACGGTTGCCGTTTTATATGGGCAAATGGTTCAATAAAAAAATTGAACCGCTCATAGTAAATACAAAGTGAAAGATTAAATGAACGCATGAGAGTTTCTTACTCTTATGTAGAGGTTGGAAATAAACCAAAAACAAAATCATTATTGCAATTTTATACTAGCAAATGGTAAAAGTAAAGAAAAAAATTAAAGAAATTTGAAGTGAAAAATAATATTTAGAAATGGATAAATGTCTGATTAAAGATTTAATTCAAATATCTTTTTTTAAACGATCTTCTGAAAAAAAGGTTTTAATTCATAAGAAGTATTTGGTACCTGATGTAAAAATGTCGAAATCTGTGGTGTCGCCGTTTTCCTACAGTTATTTACCATAAAAACCAGTGGATCACAGGCTGCGAACATTTAAATAAATTGTTTTGTTGGTCTTGTATGCTATTTGCTTGTGGAAAGGACAAAACTCAGGAGTAGGGGGAATACGTTATAGTTGGAATTCTGTTTTGATCAAATTGTGAACACCTTGCCAAAAAGCTGAGGCCTCGCTACTGATCTATACATTTATTATTCAAAATTGATATCAATATCTAAATCGATCCTTTAGAAATTTTTTCAAGAAAATATTTCATATTAATTATTGAAACAATGTACATCTTTAATACAAATTTTTATATATATTCAAACACTTTAAATATATTATAGTATATTATCAAAGATTATAAATTAAATTTTTATTTTTTTCATTTCAGTTAATATCTTTTAAAGATGGTAAAGTTGGTGTTAATTTTGGTGGTTATCATGCAGAAGCTGGATTAGGTGGCATCTTAACTGGTAATCCAGCTCACGGTGGCTTATCTGCTTCAGCTGGCACACCATGGGGACCACAAGCTGCTGCTGGATTACAAGGAAACCTTAATGGTATGTCAAATTATTATAAAATAAAATTATTGAATATTGAAAATATATAATTTGCAATGATTAATATTCTGTAGACTTTACTTAGTAACGTCATTCCCTTAAAGTTATTGCAACTCATTTAATCGACTTTATTTTATATAAGCCATATGATATTGTTCTTTCTCATCATTTTCTATATATTCTGTTATTTATGGTGTAGTTGAATTTTTACCGCTTGTACTTCATAAGTTCAACAGCTATAGCACCATTCTCTCGAATTTTTCTATTTCTTATTCTTTTATTGCTTTTTTATTATAAGCAATTTCCTTAAAGCTTAGTTCTTACATAAAGGTAACAGGATATTTGACTCTTTTTTTTTGTTTTTTCGCTTGTTATCCTGATTACAATTGAAAAAGTTCCTCATATATTTTCCTTACATTTACAGGGCAATTCTGGCAATTCTAGCGAAAGGCCGTTTGAAAGGTCATTCGTATTCTAGCAGCGGTCTTTTGCAAGATTGGAAGCTCTTTTCGGTCTTCTAAAGACCGATTCTGCTATTGAGCAGATCTTCGATTATCAGCTAAGATTTTGTTAATGTTTTTCGTGTATAAACTTTTTTATATTTTAAATAAAAAATATAATAATTGGATTAAAAATTAATAATTAATTAATTAATTAAAATGTATAAATATAGAACAAATATTTTTTACTTCATTTTTAATATGACACAAACGTAAATGAATTGATATACTATACTGTCTTCATAAAAATTTTAAAAAGTGTATTTTTAATATTTGCATATAATATATATATTTTTTTAATTATTTAAATTTTAATACGTATTTAACATTGACTTATTAATCAATTTATTTATTTATTTATTTATATATATTTAAGCTATAATTTTAAAACTAATGAAGGTTTTTTTTGCCACTGCCGTTGTCAATGCAGCAATAGCTGCTACCACCTCTTTTATAACATAAGTTAAGTTCAGTAAATAATTATTTATGTAAAAATAATAACAATAAATAAATATATATTCTTCGGTTTTCCATCTCATTTGTTATCAATTGTTTGCTTACATGCAGTAACAACCAGTAACTGTTTTTCACCACGGACAAAACAGCTCTTTACCACGACTTACAGTTAGTTAGTTAGTTGTGGTTTAGGGACGAACGAATCTTCAATTAGCTAAGAAAACCGTTTTGAATCCACAAATCCTCGTAATAATAGGTAGAAAAGAAATGATCAAACTAGAACCACAAATTACAAATGATAAAACTTTTTTCAACAATCTTTTGTGCCAGAATAGCAAAAATCTTACAAACGGTCTTTCGGTGGATCTTACAAAGTTCTTACGATAGACTTTTAACGATTCTCCCAGAATTGCTCTGTTAGATCAGTGTTTAATAAAATTAATTATTTTTGAGTGTATGTCTATTGTATTTATTTATGTTAAATATAAAAAAATAATATGTGCTGTGATATTTCTATTTTATGACGTCATCGTGGTCGCATTGCAATGCAGTAGTATGATTCTAACTGTTTTAATAAAATTTATGTGTTTTTTTTATTATCAAAAGAGCAAAAAAAAAATGTAATGCGTCACACACGTCTCAATTTAGCTAGTGCCGAAAACTAACGTCTCCACAATACAAGCTCCTCCTATCTCAGCTCTAAATACAATTAACGATAACTATAGGATTTATATCCATATCCAGCATATGTGGTGTGTATAGACGTCAATCAGTTGCTGCTGCTACAGCAGCATTAAGCTTTGGCTGCAATTGCAGCAGCAGCGACTAACTGACATCTCGTACGGATAAAAATTATGATGCTGGTTAAAATGTGCCGAGAAGAACTTGCATAACATATATCGAGGTGCACTAACAAACAAAATGAGAACTATAATTTTGTAATGCACATTATAATTACAATCACATGATCGATATTTTTACCACATAAAAGATGGACCGAAGATTCACCGAATTTCAAATACTATTTAGTTAAATCTGTTGAAAATAATAATCGAACACTATTCCTTGCATAGGTAATTATTTGACCCATGACAATCGATTGACTGTTTTCTTATTGAATATATAGATTTAAAATCATAATTATTAATTTTTTTATAATTAATATAGAAATGAAATATAAAAAATAGATATATGTATATAGAATATAGAGACATATAGACATATAGTAATATGTGCAGGACGATATTTATACATTTATGACGTCATCATCTCGCCTCAAAAGTAATAGGCTATACCGAGAAAGTAGAATCTTCATCTGTAAGTAAGTCATCAGTACATCTTTGGTGTTTGGTTGTGTCGCTTTTAGTAAAGCAGGTAAATCCTGATTTGATATTGAAATATTGACACGTTTAAAAACATAACCTTATAGATTCTATCCTGACATACCTGACATATTCAAAATTCCCGGATATATCAGAAATTCTTAGAGATCTTTATATTATAACCATCTCTAAGCAAATAAGGATTAGCGCATATAAATTATTGAGACTTGTACACGATTTCAAAACGTGTTATCAATGAAAGTTATATACATATGTAGGTATATTAATAGGTTTCAGTTAATACAATACAAATTGCTACTTTTTTCTTGTTCGACGTTGATATTATGTTCTTATTTTTATGTTTCATTATTTGTGTATTAAAAGACATATGAGTCTATTTAAGAACAAAAAACAAACCTAACTTTTCCAAATATTTTTAATAAAGAGGTTTTTCGCACAGTAATTAACAACAACAATTACAAAAATTAATTTTTTTTTATAGTATTTTAATTAAATGAATTTTTGGCTGACCATACAGCTGTTTCAAGTATTGCCAAATACCCATCATTAGTGGTCTTGGAAATAATTCTTGTGCTTAATTATTCATAAATAATTTTTTGAGACTGCAAGTACCCGGAATTAAACTCAGGTCCTGAAGCTATTTTATATAAATTTTTTATCATTTCTCTGGAATAAATAAATTTTTAATAATTATAGAGACATGCATTATTTTTAAACTTTTATAATATTTGAAGTTTAATTTTTATTTTTAACTTTTCGTAAAACAAAATTCATATAAATATAGGGAAATGAGTAAATGAAGTAATTAAAGGAAGTCGAAAACCCCAATTTGCACTTCTGTTAATTCGATGCAAATACACTAAATGACGTGCAATAATACCGTGGGCGAAATTTTTAATTAATTACATTCTGACTGGGTGCGAATATTCCTTGTGGATGAAATCGACCATTTACAAAACGAATTACATTAATTTTAAACTGTAGTAAATATAAGTAATATTTTATATGAAAGTTTTATAATTAATAATTTTATTAAGTTTGATTAATTGAAGTCGCAATAAAAAATTTTTCATTTTCATTTATTAATTTTTTGCAGGACGTGCTGCCGGTTTTGGTTATGCTGGTGCTCAAGCAAATCCATCAGTTGGCGCTGGCGCTGTTCTGGGTGGTGCAACTGATGAAGGTGGATTCCTTGGGGCAGATGCGTATGCTAATGGTAAATCAACATCAAAATCTGTATCAGGTTTTTTCCCACCACCAGAAAGTTACCAGGTGCCATCAATATTTTCACCAAATGATGAAATCATTCCAACAAATACTGGCGACAACGTTCAGAAAATTAAACCACCAAAAAAGTATTCACTTTTTAATGCAGAGGTAAGCTTTTTATAAATAATAAATAAAAGATAAATACATTTAGAAAAAATTATATAAATAAAGTTTTTTCTGCGAATTCAAGAGTTTTAAAAAAATCAAATTTTGTCACCCAATGTCTTAAGACAATATGTTAGTATATTGAAATAGGTAAGAAAGGCATATGTGGCAGTTACTCCTAATAGTGTGCCCATATACCCACATCATTCAATGCGATATGATACGCCTATGACGAAAATCGTTTATATAGTATGTGCAGGGCAATCTTGTAGAATTAATCAATTAATTGATCAATGCTACCACCTTATTTTATTTAGTAGGAGATTGTATGATTAGAGACAATTAATATAAGATGTAGAACGGAATACAATATATATGTCCTCTAAAATTTTGAAATTCATTCGTTCTATTGCCATTACGTATACATCCATAATATTAAGAACGCATGCATTTAAGTGTAGAGAGAGAGAGAGAGAATGCGACCGTAAAGCTCTAACATAAGCAAAGTAAAGTATATAAAATAAATAAAAGCATAGGTATATACTGAGAAACCAAATCACAAAAGTTAGACAAATCAACTAGGATGCAATGAGGTAGTAAAATCAATTTTTTCCAGGTTTTTAAAGCCATTGCCTATCTTGTAATTACTGTTAGACAATTTTATACAAGTTGTCTTCGGGTTAACAATAGATATGATGGAACTCCATTGATTATTATTATTTTCTTGAAAGAATCTTTTAATTTGTAAATCAGTTTTTATAAAAATATGAGACTGTTTTGGAATTAATTTCGTTTTTGTCCACAAAAATGTAAGATTATTATTACATAAATATTTAATAATTTTTTTGTTCTGGTTTCATCATATTTTTGACGGTAGTTCGATTCCACGCTGATACAATTTTTGTTCTTTACTGTCATAATATTAATTCAGTTTTTGACATACTCGTTTCCAATTAAAGTCTAAAACGTTTAATAGAAATCAGAAATTAAATTACAATTAGAAGGTAACAGATCTGAAGTATAAAGTAGTTGTAACCTTAGGTGTATAAAACAACAAGTCTCTTGCTAAAGTCTCTAATTTGTATGCAAAACAACAACACTATCCTATTGCTTTAACAGACTATTTTTGAAGTGTCTAATTATCTAAGAAACTGTAGAAAATAATGTTTATTATAAAATGATTAGAAATCCATTGTGAATGTTCATTAGAAGATTCTAGTCAGAAAATTTAATTAATTAAAAATAAAAAAAATAATGTTGTAATTTACTATTGTTCAAAAACCACACTATTGAAACAATAGTATCTATTAAGAAAATAGCTTTTTTTTATTATAATTGACGTCAGAATCAAATTAAATAAATGTTTTTAACTATGATTAATTTAATATAAATGAAAATTTTAATATTTCAAGCATAGTAACTATTGGTTTTAATTTGCTAATTTATTTAAATTTGATTTTTCTTAAGTTTTGAATACATAAATAAGACTTCTTTATGGTGCAAATATAAATTTTAATACAATAGAATAGTGATAACTATGTATCTGTAAGAAACTTTAACAAGAGACTTTAACAAGAGACTTTAGTAATTGACTTTAGTAAGTGACATTAGTAAGAGACTTTAGCAAGACACTTGTTGTTTTTTACAGCATTTCGAAGCAGCCGAATACACCTAATATTAAAAACTGTTTTGTAAGTCTTGTCTTGTTAATCAAAAAGTATAATTTTAGAATGTATCTCCATATCATTATATTGTAATAACTTTAAAATAATTTACTTAATTTGCCTTGTTAAAAAAAATAATTTTATGACCTAAACTTCTGTTATTAATTTTAATCCCACACCAATGTCGACTACAATATCACAACAAAAATAGTTTAAGTTATTATTAATTAAGAGATGAACCTAAACCTTTAACATTTTTCAATTTCTAAGCTACCAAACCAAATTGCTGAATGTGAAACAGCTGTGGATTCAAACAAGAACCAACCCACAACAAATTTACAACCAAGTGATAAAAAGCTTTCCAGCATCACAACAACAAAAGTCATAAGTACACGCACCTATGTCAATGATCCAGTGAGTACAGTGCATAAAACTGCAAATATTCCGAAAAGTGATGATGGTTCAGTGATAATTGTGGAACGACAAAAGCAAAATCTACGTGGACGGAAACAACAGAGGCGTCGGGTGACAAAAACTCGCCAACGCGTTGTCGTACAACAGACCCCGGATGTTAGTTATGTCAAACTAGAGACGACAGAGGTGAAAGAAAGTACAATTTATAAAAAAAAAAACCAACTTGAAAAAAAAACATAACGAAGCCATAAGCAAATGCATGCTATATTTTTTCACATATGAAATGGAAAAAAAATTCCATCATAAATACGAGTTTGTTTGCAGCATGGAGCATATTTTGCAGGCAACAAAGGATAATGGAAATGCAACCAACGTAACGTACAACAACGCAACAATGCAACGCAAAGTTATTGTTTGTGTCGGAGATAAAAAATGTCCTTACACACTTGGCTTAAGGCACGTTTCACGCTCTGCATTGCACTTGGCGGTTTATTTAAATTGAGCAGTTAAATTCCAAATGTCTGCCATATATTATTTTTCATTTTTCCTTAAGGCGCTACTAGTTAGATTCGTTCGTTTAACACAATACGATACTTCAGTACAACGTCTGTTTGTATCATAAAATATATAAACATTGCATTTAAAGGACAAGATTTGACAAATTTTTTCCAATTATATGTAAATTGATCAATTTTATATTTTTCCTAAAGGGAATTTTTATTATGCTTAAAGAAAATGTGATAAAAATATCCAATAAAAATACTTAATAATATATAAAATAATAACAGAATTAAATAAGTATGCTTATCATACTTATTAAACTTATGAAATATAAGTTCTAACTTAAGTTCTAATCTGGTATACTTATTAAACACTAATACTTATTTAAACCAATTCAATAATATAATAAGTATGCTTAGACCTTACAGAAGTTTCAGTACTCCATGCACGAAAAGTATATATAAAAACAGGACTTGCTTTAGATTTCGACTTAGATTAAGTTATTATAGTAATAGTGTGGATTAATAAAAATCTATGAGCCCAATGTATAGCCACAAAAATTTTTAAAAAGCTTAAAAGAGATCAACTTATATACAGATGTCGGCATTTTATTGATTTTGTAAACCTTGTATTTGGCTACTCTATAACAAAAGGTTTCAACTTATTTTATCATCTTTTAGATGATCCGAATTTGTTTCTAAGACACAATGTTTAATAACCTTAATGATAAGCAGTGTTGAACTCTATCAATATTGCGTTTAAAAATACAGACAGTCGAAAACCATCCCAAGAATAGTTTTGACCGATATCGCGAACTTAAGTGTAGATTGTGTCTAGTCGTATTTATGTATACATCTATACCCAATCGGTAACAACAATCATAGCTTTTTAAAAAAAACGGAACTTCTACTTGAAAGATGTAGCATTGATTAGAAAGTCTTTAATATGCAAGAGTAGACAGTCAATCGGTAATAACAAACAATAGTTTTAAAAAAGCACGGTAATTTCTGCTGGAAAGATGTAGCCATGATTAGGACGTCTTTAATATGTAAAAATATTCAGATCCCTAAATAATCTTCTTTAGCCAGAACCTTAACTACATTGTCCGTTACTTATTTTAAAGCCATCAATGTAAGAAGTCAGATCCTTGATTGTATTATCCATTACTTATTTTTTAGCCATCAATATAAATTGTCAGAAATTCTTCTAATGAGAACCTTCCAGTAGTCAGGTACTCTGTTTGTATAATGCATATAAATTTTATATCGAAATAATCTGTTGATATGGTACTTTTCAACAAATGATTTCATACCTAGGGAAACATTGAAAACTGTATATCATAAACTGTGGGAATATATTTTCAAATACTTATATACAGATTTATACATAAAAATTTATATTCCATAGTTAGTTTCTATGATCAGTACGTTATAAAGTCCAGCAATTTTATAAGTATGTTAACTTAGTCCACATGGTTTTACAGAAAGTTTTTAAGTAACAATCAGCAAAACAATACAACTACTGGCATTATACAACATTTTTACTAGTAAATTATAAAGCAATAATTAAAGTAATATGTACGTTAAATCAATTCATAAGGTTTAATGCTAATTTTTGATAACTATATCTTTAGCTCTATCTGGTTCTATTTTTTTAACCAAAACCAAAAATAAATAAATTACTTCTTTATATTTAAATAAAATCCTTTTGTTTTTTAAATATTCATAACATTCATAAATCACCAAATTTATTGTTCTAATATTAATTCTTTAAATGAAAACTCAAATGCATTTGCGCTCAAACATAATTCTCATTTACTTTAGTGATCAATTTCTGTTTAAAGTCATCCATTTCTACTGGAATATTGTTTGATGTTAATAAAAATTTTTGACTATTACCTAGTTAAGCTTTTTAATGCTATAAGTATGTAGGAATGTAATAATTTATAGCGATTATATATAATTATATTAATACTTTATGTAGGTACACTGTACTTTCATTTACAAATTCATCGAAAATACTGATACTAAATAGATATCGAGTACTGAACGTATATTCTTTAAATTTGAGTTGAGTTTTTTAAGCCATTCTCTCTGTCTGCATCCCTGATCTCTATGAAATTCCACCTCTATGATATTTGGATTCATATGATGAATCCATCTATAAACGGTCTACCATGTAATAATTTTTGAGGGCATTATGTTTTTAGTAAAACCTCTTCGCTAATATTATGACCCATGGTATTGTTAGAATATTTTTAAAACTCAATAAAACAAAAAATTCGGTCTTATTGAAATGTGTTATTTTTAAGGCTTAGGTTCCAATGGGTTATAATAATATAGGAGACATATAATTTTACAATACAGATCTTCGGTTTGAGATATAAATTGCGATCATAACTACCATTTCACGCTCGACGGAAGTATTATGCGCTATTTTTATCTTTTTAGAAAAATTATTTTATTTTATTTTTATTTTATTTCTTTAGAATAATCGACTTTTTTTTTGATATGTGATAATATTATCGTATTATACTTATAAAAATTGATATTAATTTTATTTTAATTTAATTTTTTTAAATATATTTATTTTAATAGATATTATTTGTAATGTTTATATTTATTATATCTTAGTGTTCAATATTTTTCTAATGAATTTTTTTATCTTTAAAATTTTATTGTAAAATATTCTTAAAAACAGATTAATATAATAATATAATTAATATTTTTTTTTTGTAATATTTTATTATCTAAATTCTATAATTTTTTTTATTACATTATGTTACAATTTTTATTAAACACATAATTTTTGCTTTATTTCATCAACATTTTATTATAATTTTTAAAAATATATTGTATGTAAGACTGATCATTTGCAATTTAATTTATTTATAAATATAATTCCTTAAATATCAATATGAATATTTCTAAAATTATATAAAATTTCATAAATCAATTACATATAGTACAAATGTTTTTCTAAAAATGAATATGCTTGAGTTAAATATTTTTAAAAATAAATTATGATTAAATTACACATTTTTTTATATAAATAAAAAATATTTTCTTACATTTTCATAATTTTTAAACCATATACAATATACATATATACAGAAATACTCAAATATTGTTTTAAACATAATTTTAATATTTATACAGTATAATTTATTTTTACCAGGCGTTCACTTAGGTCGTTTTTTGTTTTAGTTAAAATTAATTACTAAATTATTTATATTATTTATTTTTATTTATATATTAATAAATAATACATTATTATTAATTAGTTATTTAAAATTTCATTTTTTATTAAATTCCATTATCAATTTAGCATTTAATACCATAAATTAATTAATTATATAATTCATTTTTTTATTAAAATTAAAAGTTTTTTTATTTTATTATTTTTTTTTATTTTATTTTATGGTTATTATCTATAGTATATAGTATTTTATTTCATTTGTAATATGAAAAAAAAAATATTTTTGTCATATTAAAATAAATATACATTTAATATATAATATATAAAATATATATAAAATATTAGTTCCAAATTTTATTTATATTGTTTATATTAAAGTTTGTATGAACAAAAATATTTTTAATAAATTTATATACAAATGGAAATGTATAGACATATTATCAATATATTCATTTATATAAAAATATTAGTTATAATTATTTTTAAAAATTAAATATTTTACATATAAAGTTATTATAATAGTTTAGTTATATAAATATTAATGTATAAAACCGACCAAGTATTAATCATGGAAAATCAAGCTGCACTACACCACTGCATTGAATTATTCAAAGGATTTGCACGGTGACATTACAGCCTATTGAACCGATCCGAAATAATTCTTCTGAATTATGCACTTTTATTATTGCTGTTGCTGTTGTTGTTTTTGTTGTTGCTGTTGTTGGAACGTACGCCTTACCATTATTTAATTGTTGCATTTTGCGGTTTCCGGCCTAGTGATGATTTTTTTAATGAATGTTAGTTACTTCCTGCCTTTGTCGCCATTGTTGCTGCTACAACTACAACTATGGGATGCAGCTGGTATTGTTCAAGTGGAATGCGTGTGGCATTTGTGCATTTGGCGTTTATGGTTTCAATTTTTTTTAATTTTCTTCTTTTTTTTTGGTACTGTTTTGCCCCACTTTAACCCTTTTTTAGCCTTGATTTAATGCTTTTGACAATTTTATAGTATAAATTAATAATACAATTTTGTAATAATACAAGCATGTGGTTTACCGGTGCTGGTAATGAAAAATAATTATTTCTCCCATAATCAACCACAAATTTTCCCTTTAATAGAAAAATAAATTTACAAATACATTACACACTTATTAGAAAGGACAAAAATAAACACAGAAAAGAACATGCTTACACTTTTAAATAATATTATTTAAAATGTTTTATTAACTTATTTAATTTTGCTTTAAGCTAAACTAAAAATAAAAGAATATTTAAAAGGGATTTTAAATTTTTCAGCGCCCTCAAAGCAACGCTGTACATTCAAAAACTGTGGTAAAAACTGTGAACACAGTCGCACAGCCTGAGCCCGCACTAGAACCTGTGGCACCAGCACACAAGGATGATCGCCTGACTGTAAGTTGCTGCCAGCCAGGAATTGTCAATAGCGCCTTAAATGTAAGAAATAATACTCCTATTATTATCTTTTTAAAAACAAATTACTGTAACAAAATTATCTTTTCAGATTCCAATCGGTATTTTACGCTCATTGCAAGATTCTCTTTCTGGTTTTCATGTAACCAAATCTGTCTCTGTATCTAAGTAAAGTGATGCCTATAACACCGATGCTTTTTGTATTAGTTAAAATTTTCTATTTAATGTAAAATATGAAATATAATATATGAAATAGGGAACTTAAGTAATGTTTAAATAAAATTAATACTCTTTTATACACTACTGAATATATTTTTTTTAATTTGTGTGAATATATGGATTGTTGATTGTGACCTTGGCGTAGTGTAGGGGTTCCGTAGACGCCTCTAAGAGCTATGCGGGAGACAGCGTAGTTACTGCTAGGGCCTCCATTGTCGGTATGGTCTTAGGTGAGCAATCGAAGCAAACAACAAGCCGCAACGGTCTTATTCGGTTGGTCTTGCATCATCTAGTCGTCCCCCGGAATGTAGGCAAGGAGTCAGCCGTTTTAGCATTCTTGCTTCGAAGTTCACAGCCAGTCTTTTTTGGCTATATGCCAATTATTCATACATCTAAACTTTCTCTGATTAATGAAACCAAAAGAAATAATATTCAACTGAACCCAATGATGACGACAATTATTTGTTACGATCCTATGTTTCTTGTACGAATTTGAGGATTAAATATAATATAAGTGTATGGACGGAGATATATAGACATACTAATGTTTTTTTTGTACTCCAAAAAAATGAAAGAATTGGAGAATATTAATAAAGCGCTTGTGAAGAAGTGGCATGAAGTGTTGAAGAAATGGCGATTGCAGTTTTAAACCAGTTTCAAAAGATCAGTTTTATATGAATAATTAGTTAATGATTATATATTAATAATATAAACTTGACTTATTGACTTGTAACTAGAACTGTCAATATTTTAGCATACTGACTTAACATATCTCTTTGCCTTCACATTTAGTATAATGTCACTTTATGTACATTGGTCGAAAAAACAATATGGAACAAAGATTAAGTTCTGCTTTAATTTTATTAAAATAATACATAATCTCATTTTATTTATTTTAAAGTTGATCTCATCGAGCCTGAGACAAAGTGCATCAACAAATCATTACGTTAAACTTTACACATATCCGACAAAAAAGGGATGTGAGGTCATGAAATTTATACGAACTGTGTAGTTAGTTATAATTTTTCTGAAAAGATAGCGGACTTAATAAATTTCAGTATAAAAATGGTACCAGAGAAAAACAAAATTACACTAAATTTTGAAGTAAGAGTGCACTACAACAAAAGTACATAAACACCATATAAAATGCAGTAAAATGAAATTATGATGCCATTTTTATTTTGAAAATGCTTTTAGTTGAAGTAGGTTAGTCAGCCCTAATGCACAACAACAACTTTCTTTCACAAAAACGTATCTTAAATAATGACTGGTTGTGATACCATGAATTAGCGATATTCATAAGCAGACCAAAGAAATTCTAGAAGGATTGCAGAAGTCAGTGTACAAATGACTCTAAAAGGTAAAATTTCCACATTCAAGTGAAAATTTGATTAAAAGAGCCTTTCAGTTTATGAACTTGATAAAGCAATAAACTAATGTCTCCAAATTAAGTTACTAATTTTGCAAGATCTGTTTGCGATTTGTCATGTCAGTAAGAAAAGGTGCCAAAAATTTTAAAAGTTTTATTTTCCGAAGATAGTCATTTACGAAGAAATTGAAATATGATTTCTTTCAACTTCTCAGAATCACAAACACAATAAATATCATTATAGCGTGGACCCAGTCTAACCCAGTCTAACCGTAGTGCTAAGCAGGTTGAAACAATTGTTTGTTACTTTTCTTTTTTATTTTGGATCAAAAAGATTTTGAGATTAAAATTTATATGGCAAATTATATACAGACTAATTAAATTAATTATAAAATTCGAACATTTCCTAAAACCACTGATGATGAGTACTCAGCAATGCTCGAAACAGCATTGTATGGTCAGCAAAAATTTCAATAAATTAACTAAAATTTTTGTTATTGTCTTTTCATTTCTATTCAAACCTTTTCAAAATCAATTCTTTTAAATGTTTATCCAATTCTTTTAAATTTTTAATGTTAACAAAAGTTAGTTTAATTATAAAACACCAAAAGTATCTAATAGCCTACATTAGTCTCGAAAATTAAATGAAGTTTTAATTATCATTCTCATACCTAAGAATGTATATTAATGTGTTTTATATTAATGTAAACATATCAATTGAATTAATAGATATTTTAGAATTTTAAGAAAATTTGCTTAACTATTTTTGACCAAAGTAATTATAAGTTAGACACTTAACTTTGAAATGTAGACAACTTAGATTTAAACGATCGTTATAATGTTCAAACTAATTTTAATAGAAAAACTTTTGAATTCTAACACAATAAAGTCAAAAAGTTCAAAAGGCATTTTAACCTCCACTTCCTAACAAAATAAAAGTTATACTGTAAAAAATACAGTATAAACCCAGATATGCGAAAGGTATTCACATAGCAAAAAATATGTGACCCAGCTATTAATCTTAAAGAATTAATTGAAACATTCCGCAAATACATTTACAAACCGAACACAACCAACAAATGCTTCAATTTTAAAGTTTTTATGCACAAAGTCTAACTTCATCCAATTTTTATATTTATTTCATCCTTTTGGAAATATGCACTTGTGTAGTGGTTTGTTGAACAGACTTTGGGAACATTAGCATGAAATTTGTATCTCAACTATGAAGCCATTTGCTGGGAGCACACTGCGGTAATGGTCAAAATACTAAAACTAAACGATGTAAGTCTTAGTGAAAACAAAAACATAAACAAACACATTTGCTTATACTAACATATCCTTCCAAAACCACACATTATTCCCCATACATACAGATATGTGAAACACATTAAACTTTAAAATGTGGTATATGTAAGATCAAAGCATCAATAGATGCTGTAGTAACATCTAAGGTTACCCCACATACGTATTCGTTATTTACTTAACGCTTGTTAGGATAAGCCACATAAAAAACATAGCCAAAGGACTCTTCCAGGGCAAACACATACTCAACTGCAGGCACTCTGACATTGGCATGAGCCAAAATGTTTATTTAGGCTAAAAAATTTCACACAATTAAAGAGTCCTTGCGGTTGACTATGCAAAGCACGCAAATGTGTAAATATTTTTCAAAACACTTTCAAGGGTTCTACTTATATTTACAGGTCGATAAAATATGAACTTACAGATATTGGCTTGAACCTTTTATGGCTTATACACAAATTAGTACGGAGCCCGAAATACAAACACACCAAAACTCAAACCTTTTTGTATGCAAAAGTGAGTATAACTTAAGTGTGAAGCTGTGAACCATTTTAGTATCTATAGATAAGTGCTCAATTCGATGTTTGGAAGGGATGCTGTAATTACTGCACTTACCTTACTGTACAATTGCCTCATAGAAGGCATTGTGTATGATTGTGTATAAAAGATTGTTACAAAGATACATAGAAATGAACAGTACAAAGGTATTCAATATATCGGCTATACATCAGATAGTGAAAAAAAGTTCGTTGACTTAAACAAAAAAGTTTGATTTAAGTGAGAGTGATTTTTAAACAAAATCTTACTCGTATGTGTATGCTATGAAATTCTGAAGTATAAAATATAGTGGACCTATGGTCCACTAGAAGAAAAGGACAGCAGTAAGTAAATAAAAACTATAATATTTTGTTGAAATATTGTTTAAATAGAATAAACTATAAAAGTATTATTTTATTACACGAAGGAAATTTTAATATAAGCAGAAATTCTTAAAGTAATTAATTGCAATAACGACATCTATTGGCAATTATATGAAAATGGCATAATAAAATAGTTCTGTCACTAATCAAAACTCCCACTGTTAAAATTTTATGGTACTTCAACAAATGTAAGTGATATTGTGTATTAATTAGAAGTCCTTTAATATGTCAGTATAAGTCTTTAAATGGTTTTTTCATCTATAAAATAATTTTTTTTCATTGACAAAAATATTTTTCTAACATACAAGACATCGCATAGTACCATATTAGTAGTGAATAGTTATTATGTGAATTTTAGTCCACAAATCAGATACTATTGTAGTTTGCAAAAATAGAATCTTCGACGGTTGCGACGGTTAACTTGCTCAGAACAAACCGTGTACATACTTTCGGTACTCCAATCATGCTCTCAAAATGTTATAAATAGATGATTTGTAATCTAATAAAAATGTTTAAATATTGCATGATCTTCAATAAATTGTTATCCAAATGATATATTTGTTTCTATTTCCTAATTGGGGTGTTCTTAGTTCCAACTTGATCAAATCAAAATAATTATTTATCTGTAAATGGTTTAGCAACCTAACCCGTTTTTACGGGTTACGATAGCATACTTACCCAGAAAAAATTTAGCGACGAAAGAAAGAGTATTATTACAAAATGTTTCTTTCTTTAAGAGGATGGACTAAGGAACTTTTGCACTCAGATAGTATCGGACTTTGTGAAACTTATGCCAATGTAAATTTAAAGAAAGATTCAATAAATAAACCGATGAAAGGCAAAAAAGAAAAAAAATGTAAAGTTTTTAATACAACAAATGGATCAAAATGTCATCTGTAGAATCGATTTGAACTACAGTTTGTTATTACTGACATCATTTCTTTCTGCATGAAAATAAATTTATTGATTTTCTTAAATACATAATTCAATAATAATATTAGTTATAATCAATGAATCAGTGAAAATTATAACATATTCCCTTGCTTATTAATATAAGCAAAACTTTAATATTGAAGACGACTCATCCAATTGTGTATAACACGAGAACAATAATTGATTTAGTATCATCTATAGTTGATAATTAACTATATATTGAGATTAATGATGTTATTAACACTGATAATAATAATAACTATTCTTAAAAACAGGATCTCAACATGATCTTTGTTTGCTTGCAATAAATCACTCTCTTGTGGAGAAGTTATTATTATATTATTAAAAGTTTTAACATGAAATCGTCCAGAATAACCAGTACTACGGCCAGAAGAGTCCTATTGTACCAATTTCACTATTGATTACACAAAGCTCTTTAAAGCTTTGTAAACAAAGTCCAGAACTAAATCTAGAGAAGACATCTTAATCTGTTCTGGTGATAGAAATTCCATATAAAATAAGTTTCTTCTGTGC